ATCCGGCAGAGGAAGCCCCGGGCCGCCCCTTTGGCTCCTCTTAGTCGGCCAAAGTCAGGGAACAGTGAACTGCATTTATTTTTGAGGTCAGGATGGCAGTCTTGGGAGAAAACCTTTTAATAAGCATGGCCTGTTTGGTGCGACTGAGGAAGAGTGGGTTTCTGGTGGATGTGGCACATGACTTTGGGACGGGGAGCAGACAAGAATGGCGAGGAGACAGTCCGGGAGCGGCTGTCCTCACCCCTCCTCCTGCTGCCCTGCCACCCACCTCACTGTCTTCTCTCTCTTGCTTTCTTTTTCTCTCTTTCCTTTTTCTCAGATCTGAATTCCACTGACATTTCTTGGATAACTGCTCTGTGTCAGGCACTGATGATGGGCACTTTCCCAGTAAGTCCTGCAGCAGTGAGCAGCAAGCATTCCACTGCTTAGAGGAAGAAGTGGGCTCCAGCCTGGGGTGAGCTGGGTGGGGGGAACAGAGACTGAGAGGGCCTGGCAGGAGGGAAATCTGGAAATATGTCTAAAGATCTTTCAAATGTACACAGCCTTTGGCCTAGCAATTTCACTTCTAGGAATTTATACCAAGGAGCTAAGTTGGGATGGATACAAAGATTTGGCTAAAAAGATGCTGACTATTCTCAATAACAAAAAAAGCTGTAAACAGCATAAATGTCCAACAACAGGTGCTGGTTGAGTAAGTTGTGGAACATTCACGTTATAGGATAAAATGCTTATCAATTATATCTTAATAAAGCTGTATAGAGAAAAGAAAATAAAGAACAACACTGCTGGGGAGGGCAGGGGAGGCGGGTGTAGCCACAAAAGGGCAGCACAGCCCCAGAGGTCCTGTGGCACTGGAGGCGTCTAGTGTCTCGACTATGAAGGTAGGTTACACAAGCCTACTCAGGTGACAAATTGTGTTACTGTCTTGCAAACTGTTACCATTGGGAGAAATGGCTCAAAGTGTATAAGGGATCTCTGAGGGCCGGCCTGTGGCTCACTTGGGAGAGTGTGGTGCTGGTAATACCAAGGCCACGGGTTTGGATCCCTACATAGGGATGGCCAGTTGGTTCACTTGGG